TTTTATTCATCAGTGGCTCTGGGGTACAAGACCATTAATTTTAGTCCTGGGAGGCCACACTGGATTATATAAGGCATAGGCACATTGCCGTTTGACTACTGGGGATTTACAGATACAGCTTTTGGGTCATATAGCTCTGACTACCATGATTAAAAGTGATCTCATTTCCCATCTCTGCAGACTGTTCAATTACCCTGTATTTAAATTCTTCTCCCCTCCTTTTCTTGGGCTTTTCCATAGATTTAAACAAAATAGCTACCAGCCTCTGACTTCACTGGTTTCTGTCATCAACCATTCAGACATTTTCCTCACTTCTCATCATCATTGTGTGATCTATCAGCCTTGTACGATTCTTGGCCAATGGCCATATTAATTTTCTACTTCAAAGAACACAAATAGAATACTGCTTATGACGAAGGTAGTAGGGGGAGCTTGGGGAATAGCTGTTCGTCTTACTGCATAGTAATTAGCTTGGCAAACTGAAACAGTAACATGATTAAATCTGATACCTAGCCAAAATTGCCAAAAGCAAAAAAAAAAAAAAACCAAAACAACCCTCATTTTGTTAGGGGTGTTAAATGGCTTTTTAAATAGCAGCTGTTGACAGTTCTATTTGCCCTTTTGGAAATGGTATGGGCAGTGTGACATCAGAGATCTTCGGTTTCCATGGTGACTATGAGTGATGGCATTCCAGATGTTATGGTAAGCTTTTACAGTATAATTCCTTGCACCTTACACCACACATGCAGGAGGAAAGAAACGGCTTTATCTTGACAGGTTGGAGGAAAAGAATGCCCATCATACAAGTCAGTAAGTATTGTTTTAGAGTAAATACAATTTGTTCCTCTTAAACAGAAGTGTGCTGACAAAAGACAGGAGCACACTGGCGAGCCATACTAACATGCTTGGACTTAACAAGGACTAATTAATTGCTTAGATATTTCAACAGCGATTAATGGTTATTTTCAGCTTATGTGTTATTGTATAAACTGGTTGTTCTTTTAACACTGATTTATCCATTTTCATTGCCAGAAAAAGAAATTACTCTAAAGCAATTAAAACTAAGTGGAGAAATAATCTGTGGTCTAGGTATGGAGAAAAACAAATTGTCCTGTGGCGTGCAGACCGCTGTCTAGCCCAGCAGGATGTTCTGGAATACAGCAAGACACCTCAGGCTTCCCCTAATGCCCCTTGACAGATTTCATCATTCTGATGCTGCTGAAGCTAAATACTTTACTTTCCCATTGCTTAAGAATTTTCACATTTAAAATTGACAGTCAACCTTAAAACACAGCTTACCAGGATAATTACATGTACTTTGGAAAAAACAATAAACTTAAAAGACTTTCTTAATTTGACTTTGATAAATGAGTACCTTTTCAATTTTCTCATGTAGCTGTAAATGTAGTTCTAGTTTTTAAAAAAATAATCAGGTATAAAACATACAGTATATAGCTATATATAAAACATACCGAGGTAAGATATAAAAAAGCTTGTCTCTTAATAGGGAAAACAAGAATATACAGTCTTCCTGACTAGTGATTCACATCAGATCTACTGTATAGTTAATATTGTCTAGCATCAGAAACAAAAGTCATAAATCTAAGTAAAGACAATCTACTGGCAAGATGACAGGAAGTCATAATGAATCTGAACACAAGTTAAAAAATTCTACGTAAGTGCCTTACTCTTATAGCAAGGGTAACAAACATGATAAACGATCCTGTCTCTCCCTTACTCAGCTACTAGTTATGTCAGGACAGAATATCAAGATCACTACTGCATATCACTTACAGGAAAGTCTTATGGACCCAGAAGAAGGATGGATTTACAAATTGAACAGAGAAAAATATGAGATACTTAGGTCAGAAAGTATCAGCTGTGACCAAACTTACTATGTATCCACAAGCCATGGCTAGGATTAATTACCTATGGGAAACTTTATCACTATCATTTTCATCACCAAACTTCCAATCTACCATCAGACTGAGATAGGGTATCAGGTAAGATTCTACTTAAAATGTAATCAGTAAAACCTAAATGGTCACAAGAACTAAAGAAGTTAAGACTCGAAGGGTCAGAATTCTAGGTATTAGAACCGTGAAAGATAACCTAACGCATTTACTTTCAATAAGGAAATGAAGGCCCACGGAGATCAAGCAGAATTATCCTTGATCACAAGGACAGCTACGAGCAGAGCAAAAAGGAATCCCGGCTTCCGCCTCTCTCGCAGTCTCTGTCTGGCCTTGCACGCTACAGGAAATGGAGCACTGTTCACAAAATGCAGCCCACAAACATCCAATACCACAACACCGCAAATATCACAGAGAGATTTTCAATTTTAGGGATCAAAATACATAGGATAATGGACTTTTTACAAAAATAAATCAAAACATCCACATACACACACCATTGTACTCAAATCAGAAAAACCAAAGGCAGAACAAACATGGAAAGAGAAAAATGTTAAAAATGTTACAGTAACAAACACAGAACAAACGTTCTTAGTGGTTTTCATTTGAAGGGTGGCCAGGGCTTGAGTCAAACAGAAAGCCAAGGTCCTATGTGGTTTCTTTTATAAAGAGCAATGGTGGGGCTTCCAGGTCAGTGGAAAGGAAGTAACGTTCACCACGTCCTTTCTCCCAAAAAAGAACTCACTTTAGTTTCAAGATGATACCCCTGGGCTGTTCCCATAGAAACCCACTGGCCAGAATAAACACCCAGTACAGAATGTAGAAGATGTACTGTTCCTGCTACAAGGAGAAGGGTTCTTCCCTGACTCCGAGGAAGTCTCTTCTTGTTATTTTAGAAACTCTCCATGCAGATGATCTAAAATTGAGCTATCATTTCAATTATGATAACAAGCTGGAACGGGGACAGATACTGATTTCCACTTAGACACCCTGCTCAGAAAAGCAGAAACTGAGGCTCTTAGGAGCAAATGGCTATGACGTCAGGCAAGTCAGGGGTCCTCTGAATGCAACATTTCTGAGGAGACGGAGGTCGTGAGAGCACATGAAATAATGTGAGCAGTGATGCAATATGGACGCACTTTAGTTCTGGAACTCATTAGGTCCCTACAGACACCAGAAAATCATGTGACTATACTCCAGACTTTGGGAGTACGGCACTGACAGAGTCACAGAGAATTATGATCACTGCAACCATTGGGAAGAGACATCTGGAAGAGAATACTAAAATCCTGCTACTCGAATGTGGTCTGAAGACAATCATGGCTATCACCCGGCAGCTGCTTAGAAATGTAGGCTCTCTGGCCCCGGTCTGACCTCATGAGTCAGGATTCGCGTTTTAACAAGTGCTCCAAGTGATGCCTGAGCACAGTCAAGTCTCAGAAGTTCTCTAATGAAAATGCTGACCGTGTGCTGGCAAAAGAGGCCACGAAAACTTCAGGTGTTATCAAGCCTACACAGCTGAGCATGCAGAATGTGTCTCAAGTCATGCTGGCTCTTTGTTGCTACTTCTGGTCAACCACAGGTTATACATCTGAGACGTAAACACTTCTTTATTACAGGTATCAGTACCTGTGAGGTGACGCTCATTTAGTTTCCTTTTCTATGTGGGACTAAAGAGGATAAGGAAAAATATATAAAGCTAGACAGTCTAAGCAATGCTTCATTAATCTGGGTAATACAAAAAACACGCCCAGACTAAATGATGAAGTGAGCCTGGTTGATTACATTTTCATAATTATAATCATTAAGACCTGGGTATGTGTATTGATTTATTGAATAGCAACAACTTAATCGACTTTTTCCTAAAAAAACTCATTGCAACTTTTAGGTACAGTTGAATTTTCATGAAAGATTATTTTCACAAAAGGTGTAGTTTAGCTTTTGGAATGCGATAGTCTGATGGGAAAACAAACTTGGGGGGATAAAAACCATATACATTTTGATTCTGGCATTCATTGTCTGAGCTTCCTACTAGGAGCTGCAATTTTGGTACGGACACAACACTAAAGGGTAGGACGGAAGAGGGTACGTGTCATTTCCTGCCCCATTCAACCAGAACTGCTTTTCTTGGCTACCTCTCCAGTTATTCCACGGCTTAGGTAACGAGTGGGAGAGCTCTGGCCAGGTGGAGAACACCTCCCCCAATGGCTGCCTCTGCATGCACAAGTTTTAAGCTGGAGGAATCTAGAGAACACGGGCAGGAAGGACTCTCTGCCCCTCCTCTGCCGCTCTCCGTTGCAGTAGGTCCTGTGACCGTGCTGGTGGAGGGTGGACAGACACTGGATGGGATCTCAAGGATGGGCCTTGCTGTCTCCTTGCTCATCACCCTTAGCTCATACTCCGCTGTCCTATCATATTTTCCCAAGACTTGATCAAGCCTAGTCTGCAACACTCAGGTTCAACTGCTTCTTTGAGTCTTTACTTCCTTATGAAGCCTCCTGTGCTCTGTGGAATTTATATTAAATAAATGTGTATGTTTTTCCCTTGTCAATTTGTCTTTGCCAGTTTAATTTTCAGACCCAGTCAGGGACCCTAGGAGGGCTGAGGACATTTTTATTTCCTCCCCTGCATTCCCAGGCAGGGGAAAGTGTTCCCCAGAGCGCTATCGTGGAGAGCAGCACTGAAGGAGCAAGAATTCCGCCTTTTACCATCTGTACTGGAACTGAGGTTCTATTTTCATTTTCTGAAAGATAATGATGATTTTCCCACTGGTTTACATTTTTCTTGGATCCATATCCTCTGAATCCATTTCCCCAGACAGTAACTGGGCACAGAGAAGAGTGAGCAGCTGACTACACTACGGTGGGGGCGGGGGCAGGCACTCAGACGGGGAGCGTCTCACAGCCCCGCCCACCACTCTGCTTTTCACACGCCTCCTGAGTGAAGGGCACAAGTCCTTCACTACGAGCCCAGCCCAGTGAGGAGTGTAGCAATCACAGAAAGGGAGAAGAGAGGACGGAGCTGGATTTCACCACTGTACCAAGCCCAAAATGTGAATGAATCATGAACTTTGTCCTCCCCGGTTACCTGATATAACAGCTATTTTCCCGGATCCGTGTTCTTCTTGAGCTATTCTTTCTGCTTCCTCCATCAGCAGCATGCCAAACCCCTAGAGGGAGAAACAGAGGAGTGGGGGGTTATGAAGGGGAGGAAGTCCATTGAGAAAGGCCCATAAAACAAGAAGGCTATAATTCAGTCGTTGCTGAAATGTGTTTAAAAGAATGACAAAAATCTTTTTATAAAAAGAAAAAAAAAACCCATTCATTTATACCAAAACTGCACTGTAACTGACTAGTACAAAAGGCTGAACTCTCCAACAAGAGCTACCAAACAGTCCTTTGGAGGACGTATTCTAGTCACAGCAAGGGGATTATTCCCACTTAGCTGTCTTATTTTAGGTAAGTTCCAGGCAGCGTTCAGGGGACAGGGGTATACGGCACTCAGCTTTTATTGAAGTCGCCCTTCCACTTTCTTTTCTTGTTTGTTTGTTTTTTTTTTTTTTTCCGGTACCGGGACTCGAACTCATGACCTTGCGCTTGCCAGGCAGGCCCTGTGCCACTGAGCTAAATCCCCAGCCCTGCCCCTCCACTTTCTAAAGGGGTTTACAAACCAAGCAAGATTCTTGCAGCCATTTTGGGGCTTACCCTAGATCCTCCTCAATGTTTCCAACACATTTTCCTGAAATTTTAAGGAGGTACGCATTTTAGGTGGTTTGGGGTCAGAGTTCCACTTTCTACACTAGTTTATGTTTAAGGAGTGCTTTAATATTTTGTAAGTGCTTTCACATCGTCTCACTGGATTCCCTGGTAAGCTGAGTCATAAAATTGCCAATATTAGAGAATTTCTGACTTTCAATTTTAGTATACGTGCTGCCAAAGCGAGCACGATTTCTGACTCTCTAAAGCAGCCATTTCTTATGGCTCAGTCTGATACATTCAACTTAGCTGAATCTGCATGTCCTTCCCTCTGGCCCCATCACTCCCAAAAGGGAGCAATGCGGAGAGGAAACACGGGCGAATGACTGAAATATCGATTCTTTTGTTTCTGTATTCCCTTCCCCATTTTCTCCTCTTTTGCTTCATGATTCCCTCCTCTCACATGCCTTTTCTCTTTTCCCACTACGGGTCATTTCTTAATTATAAGCCAAACAGAAACAGCAAGGAGGGTACCTGATGCTGAAACTTAGTAGGATCCCGGCTGCTCACGGGGACCACACTTCCGTACACGTGCAGCTCGCGCACTATGGAAACACCTCCACCCAGCTCGAAACGGAAGGTTTCCTCTGAACACTTGCGCAACCGCAGGAGGCCGATCAGAATGTCTTGATCAGGGTCTTCATACGACAGGAATGTCTCCCAGCCACCATTTGCCACATAATCTCTCCTCACCAGCTCAACCTGTTGAATTAAAAAGCCACAAGAAATAAATGTTTCAAAATTACAGGACTGAAATTATTTTTATAATTGTATGTACTTATTTAGGTTAATATTCAGTAAGGAATAAAGAATGAATCATCCTTAATTATGCTTCTTTTTACTTGTCTCCTCTCAAATAGCACTCAGATTAAATAAGAGTTCATGCTTTATTCATGGACCATTACAAATGGAGAACAATTTTATAAATATTTGAACTTAATTAACCTTGAGGTTCTTATATAGATATCCAGCTCAGTAAATGCTTCTGTGTATTTAAATCTTTGATTGTCCATGAACTGTCTCTAAGATAAAAAGTACACATTATGTCACACTGGTAGCTCTTAGGAACACTCCTTTTTTGCCCCCAAAGCGTCAGATTCAATGTTTTCACTTTCTAATCCTTACTTCCTCCACTAAAACCTGCTTTAGGAGGAAAAAAGAAAAAGATACTGGGCTGTTGCTCCTTGGGATTATCCTCAAAGCGAGGTAAGCAATTCAGACCAACATTTTATGCCTTCTCAACTTCATGTTTGCTAAATAACTAGACTGTGTCAGAATTTGACAAAATTAACTGGGTTGGGTCTAATTTTTCCTTAAGAGATCCAAAATGTATAAAATGTCAAATAAGAAGAGAAATATAATTCAGAGATCATCCTTTGTTCAGCTTTTCTCAAACAGGTCCACCAGAGTTATCCCCCATGGAGTGCGGCACATAGCTAGACGCTGTAGATGTGGAGGAGGGAAGTTAACTCGGTACATATAATGAACACTTCAGGGCATGGTGGACCACCTGTTAGTAATGCCATGTACTCATGTGACTAGCACCAGTAGGCAATGATTTAACAGTTATACACAAGGAGACACGCAGTTCTATCTGAGGGTAACTGCTAGTATGTGACTGTCCACACTTGAATTAATTAAAGGGGAATAAAACTAAAACCTTAGTTCTTTATTGGTAGTAGCCACATTCCAAGTGCTTGACAGTCCCCCATGCAACTTGTGGCTACCAAACTAGACAGCTCCGGTCCCTGAACGTGTATTTCCCACCCTGCAGAATGTGTTGGACACTGCTGATCTAGAATGAGTGGCAGATTCAGTTTTTATAACCTGCCTCTTCTAAAATTCAGCTAACCTTCTATTTAGCTTTCTTGTTTGGACATCTGTCTCTAACCTTCAAGTACTCTCTGCTCTGAGTTATTCATCTAAGAAGTTAAGTGGATCCAGCCTTGGCAAAGTTTAAGAAACTAACCTGGTATGGTCGTACTTTGTGATGAATTTCTTGGATTCCAACCTCTCTGGTTCTCACATCCCGACACTGTCATTAAAAAAAGACGGTGTGTAGTGATTAAATTCGTAAGTAATGCAATGCTTATTTAAAACTCTCTTTTATGTAAACTAAACCCTGGGCTCAAAATAAAGTTTGGACATAATTTACACTGACCTAAAAGAACTGAATTTTAAAAAGGAACTCATCTTTAATAAGTTTGATGATAGGGAAACCAGAACAGAAGTTTATGAAGTTGTATTCTTTTCCTTTAAAAACAAATTTAGAATTGAAAAGAGATGAACTTATAATATAATCTTGGGGGTAAAAGACATAAGTCATAAAGTTAGAAAGTAATTTTGCCCAGTGAATGTAACTATCTGCAAGTAAAATCCCAAACCATGCTTGCAGAAGAGTACAAAGCAAATTCCTGATATACTATAAAAACACATTATTCACTTACATATCTTATGGTATACTGTTCCCTATACATACAACAAAGTATAACATTATTTTCAGGATCCTGATATTTTCTACTAGAGAGAAAATATCACTGTAGGAAATCTGCTATCATGAACGCTATTTCTCTAATAATATATTTATGAAGGATTGTTATATATGTATGGAATTCTATAAAAAGGAAGCTTATTATTCAAGTCTACAACAAAGTAAAACAAAACAAAGCTATTTCCATGTCTCAGGAACCAGCCCAAGATAATACTTTGCTGGTATAGATTACATAGCAAACAAGGGTCATCCATCTCTGTACCCACTGATCTAGTAAATATGGATGTTGTCTTTCTGCTATGGTAGTGCTACAGTTTGCATGTCAATGCGTCAGTTACATGCTCTCCATGAACAGCGCTTGCTGCTTCTTTCCTACTCCTCTGGGCGGGGGTGGGTGCTATTTTAATGGCAGAGATAAGATTCATAAACATTATTGACCTATTCGAAATAGAAAAAAAAAGAGATGAACAATACGAAGTTCCAGAAAAGAGGCAAACGCATTTAGAGTAACTCAGCACCAAATGAGACTGTGTGCTGTTCTCCTTCTTCTCCGTCCCTGCCTTGCCTGGTTGCTGACGGTCTCCTCCTCTATCTGCCTTCTCTAAGCCTGCCCCCTCACAAACTTGGCCAGCCTCTGTTACAGAGACTGGGACTAAGTCCAAAAACTTCTTCAAGTACTCTCTGCTCTGAGTTATTCATCTAAGAAGCCAACAAATGTCTAGTTCCCACAGGCACCATCTTCACCAGGCAGAGCACCACGAGTTCAAGACCAGCTTACGCTACACAGTGAGTCCAAGGCCAACCTGAACTACACAGTGAGACCCTGTGTGAACCCCCCAACCCCAAAAACAAAAACAAAAAAACAAAAAAACTTGAGAGGGGTGGGTTGTGGTAAGGTAGCCATTATATGTGGAGAAACAGCACTGTCGGACAGTGATTTCCAGCACATAATCCTTACCTGTTCAAACGATCCTAACTTCTCTTGAGGAACCACATCTTATTCTACTATAATTTACTGACCAAGAACCAAATACACAGTACTTCAAAAGAAAAAGTGTTTTGGAAAAAGGAGTTGAACACCTAGTAGACAATCACAGGAGGTAGAAAAAAACAAGCATGACACTGACAAAGCTCTTTGGTAGGAGAACACAGGAGGAAAGAAACGGCAGGAAGGTGGCCTTTGCTGCCACTTGCTTCACTTTCTGTATGTTGCACAATGGCTTCAACAGATGGAAAACTTCCTGACTGACTGGTAAGAGGGGTGTGTAAGAGTGACTGTACCAAAGACTTCTGCCTAGGGTGACACTTCTTCTCAGCAACACGGTCTGGCCGCTGTATGTTCCCATACCTGTATTCCAAGGTCTTTCATTCTTGCAAACGCCAGTTCTCTCAGGTTGCCATGTTCCACTCCCGAGCTGACTAAGGGCATAGGAATGTCTCTGTGGGAGAAAGACAACAGCTGTGGCTAAACACAGTTCACTCTCCAAAGCAGTTAAGGCAAGGACATCATAAGAGGAAAAACAAAAGTAAAATGTAAAAAAAGCTATGCAGCAGACAGGAAAACAGAGGCCGAAGAACCTAACCGGGAAGGAAGGTTCAGAGCATCCCCAGGTCTGTTTCCTAACTTACAAAACAAATTTTCATCAACATCTCAGAGTTTTAGTGAGAAATACCTGACAAATCATTTTATCAAATTAGAAAGTATAAAGTCAAGGCCCAAATGCCCAATAACCATTTCTATGAATTTGTGGCTGAAGAGACATTTATAGTAAATAGAACATGAAATAAAATGGGTTTTATAAAGTTCAATCTGTTTAATGAGGTGACGCAGGGATTTCTATTAATGCACTGCTGTATAGCTGACAACCATTCTTCCATATAGTTGGTGGATGGAAGGGACCAGGAAACTCGAAAGTCTGGCACAGCCAGTAACTGGTCTCAAATAAAACATTTTTCTTCCTTCACTTCCCAAAATTCTGTATTAGACGTGACTGCATTAAAATAATAGTAGCTTGTCTAAAGACAAGAGGAGGTAGAAATTCACCTCCTAGCATTAATATAGCATGAAGTTCTGGGCATCAAGAAGGCGTCAATCAAAAGTTGAAGTTATGAGCTCCATTTCAGTAGCCATTTTAGCAACCATCTCTAAAAAAACCAATTAGTATACATTAGAGTATTTCTAAGAAAAAGTCTGAAGTAGGAGTATGTTCGGCACTTCTTCCTATTCAAAGAGTAAGTCTCCAATTGATTGTGTCTAATACTCGGCTGATCAGAAGATGTGAAACACATGCCAGTTATCTTTTCCATTTTCCTTTCGAACCAACTTAAGAGTTTTTCTTCTCTCTTCACTTATACCATCATATGTTAAATGCAATTCTTCACTCAAAAGTATCAAAAAGCAATCAATTAGCACAACGAGCTATTCGTAAGTCTATTAGGCTCCAGAATCTGGTAGTTTCCATAAAAACACTACAAAGCAAAGACACACCAGGGATTACAAGTGAGAGGGGCATTACAGTCAAGAGTTAGTATATACAGCATGGTTTACTTACAGTTTTTAGAAAAATCAATCTCTATCTTTGGAGCTAGAATTTCTTAAAATTAAATCTAATGTAAAGTTAGTAATCAGATGAAACTGAATAAAGGCTATTAATGGAAAAAGTATGGCTTATTTAGCAAGAAACATGAATATACTATATGTTTTATTGTTTTATATAAGCCAAACATAAAGTCTTCTAAATGTCCTTTTTAACCTTAAAATATTTTATAAGTAATTCACAAATATATTAAACACAACTATATGGCATATGTATGAACATAAATATTTTTCACTAAAATTTTCAAACATTGTTACACATGGTATGAAATTAATCTGATAAAATCAACTGGCACCATTACCTGAAAAATAACATTCAATTCCTGTTATTCATGGAAGTTATATACAGTACAGTTGCTGTGAATACTGAGCTACATAATACTGAAACGCTGCTCCTAGAGAATAGAGTTAGGTTTCTATGAAACTCAAAACACTTTCTTCGCTGAGCGGTATATAACCTTGTTTTATGTGTGTTTCTGTTAAAAGAGACCTATTTGACACACAGTTGATTCATTAATAACGAACTAGTGGCTACAGCATTTTAACTCATGCCTTGAAGAAGCTTACCTAACATATTTTCTTGAGGGCACATGAAGACAGCATTTGAAGAACAGAGGGGAACATAAGCAGAAAGACGGAAAGCAGAGAAAGATCCAAAAACACAGAAATGAAGAATGCCCTTAACAGGAGTATCAGCAGATGGATATGTCTGAGAAAGAAATCTCTGAGAACAATATCAAAAGAAACCTCAAAAAAGGAAAAAGCAAAGACAACAAAGACAGAAAACAATGGTGACAACAGAATATCCAAAGGACTGTGTGAAAACTACACAGGTTTAACTTATGTTTAATGGGAACAATGGAAGGAAAAAAGAGAAAGGACCAGCGGAAATAGCTGAAACAAATATTTGACTGAGAATTTCTCCAATTACTATCAGACACCAGACCACAGATCCAGGAAGTTCAAAGAATACCAAACAGGATAAATGCCCTCTTAACCTACACTTAGGCATAATATTTTTAACCAACAGAAAAGCAAAGATAATGAACTATCCTGAAAGAAGCCAGAGGGAAAAACACCTTACATACAGAGGAACAAAGATTTAAGAATTACATATGACATCTCTTTTGAAACGATATAAAAAAGAAGAGTAGACTGAAATACTTAAAGTATGTCACTTATCTCTTAAAGAAAAAAATCTACTAACCTATAATTCTATTCTCTGAAATCATCCTTCAAAAGGAAAAATTAGAAATACTTTCTCAGACAAACAAAAGTTGAGAGAATTCACTGCTAACACATGCGCTCCACAAGAAATGTTAAAAATTCCTCAGCAAGAAGAAAATTATAGAGGTCAGAAACTCAGATCGACATAAAGAAAAGCACATTGAACAAAGATAAGTGAAGAGTAAAACTTATTTTTTCATTCTTATTCTAACAGGAAATCAGTAGAGAAAAATAAACAAAATCAAAAGCCAGTTCTCTGCAAAAAAAAAAAAAATCAATAAAATCAACTATCCTCTAGACAGGATAACTAAGAAAAAAAAGAGAGGGCAGAAATGACTAGTATCAGAGATAGACATGGGGACATCACTACAGATACTATGACATTCAAAAGAAAGCCAAGGTGCCAAGTGTGGTGGAGCACGCCTGTAATCCCAGCACTCGGGAGGCTGAGGCAGGAGGATCGTTGCGAGTTCAAGACCAGCCTGGGATACAAAGTGAGCTCAAGGTCAGCCTAAACTGCATAGTGAGATCCTGTCTCAAAATGACAAAAAATTAAAAAAAAAAAAAAGAAAACCAAGCAATAAATACTAAATGCAGTTGGAGTGTACTCCCAGGGTCCACTGAGATTGGAAGCTTGGTTCCCAGAGTGGTAAAACTGGGAGGTAGGGCCTAGTGGGAGGCCTTTAGGTCATTGGGGGCGTGTCCTCAGACGGCAACTCTCTGGTTAAAAGGAGCAAGGCTGGTGCACTTTGTGACGCAAGTGCTCCTGCCACTGCTCTGCCCCACAAGGTGACCCAGCCCACAGGCGGCCTTCACCACAGCCTGCATTATGCCACTGCCACTAGATGCTGTCAATACACACAACTAAGAAATGTGTGTGTATGCACCCAGTGTGCATTTACATGTAAAATACAAGGATTCACTTGTAACTATTCCTATGTATAAATTTAAAAATCTACATGTTCATACTGGTAATCCCAGTATGAACACTGTCAGCGTTCTTTTCAGCCTTCTACCTTTCAGTAACTGCAGATCCCTTCAGACAGCAAGAAAGGTGGCTTTTGAATTTAGGGCATTTACTCATATGCTAAATCAATTAACTTATGTGCTCACTGTAACCAGTCTCCCAACCCTTCTCTGTATTCCCTCCCTTACCTCTACCCTGTTCCAGGTGCCAGGCATGCTACTGTCAGCACCTCCATGGCACTGACTCCACAGGGGGCAGCCAAGATGGCAGGAGGGGAGTGGAAGAGGGACTCTACAAATATTTTAATAACAAGCTAGTACTTTTAAAAAGACACTAAGGCTGGGGATGTAGCTCTGTGGTATAGTTCTTAGCTAGCACGCAAGGCTCTGGTTTAATCCCCAGGACCAAAAAAATAAAAATCACTAAATTCTCAGGAGACATAAACCTACAAAGGAAGTTTTTATCAGACAATGGTAGTGGGCAGAACCATCTGACAGCAAGAACGACCAGCAGGCTGCTACATAATCTGTGGGACCCAGTGCAAAACGAGAACACATGGCTCCCTATTTTAAAAGAATTATTAGTAAGCTCAAGATGGTGACAGAGGGGCATTCGGCCGTGCAAGGGCCTAGGAGATGAACAGGTCCCCTGCTCCGAAGCTGGCCCTGAGGACCAGAGAGGACTTGGCAACACAGGGATGCACATGGGTGCTGACCGTTCATAAATGTCCTTAAGTGTATGTCTGTCACTGCAGAAAGGAAACATGGCTTTAATGGTATTAGGAAGTGTGGAAGTTTTTCACATTAAGGAATAGAAACATGGCGGCTGCCAACTTCAGTCAGGAAGTCTCTTTCACTGAAACTGAGAAGCAACCTAGGTTGAGCTGCTTCCACAGGTAAGATTGTCTGGACTCCACAAACAGACAGTGTTACTCTCTCCCAGGAGTTCAAACCCCAGGCGAGATGAGCGATCATCTGAACTTGCTATAGACATCTAGGCAAGAGTGAAAGTTATTTTTAGAGTTTTCAACTTAATTCAATCTAATTTCATTTCCTTGGGTGAAAGAGAGATTATATATGAGAATATTCACTTTTCTATTTTAATAGGTAATATTCCATGCTTAGAGGTGCTGATATTTGCAATTTGCTCATCAAAAACCTTTCAAAGCGATGTCAAGAGCTGTTTCAGTCTGTTTTCTCACGCTTCAGAAACCTGTTTTGGTTGCAAATTGGTATTCCTACTCCAAGCCTCACAGTGATTTAAATATCACATCGAGGCAGACAGCTGTCAAATAGCCCACGGGCAGCAGCAGTTTAATGTGGTTCCATCGTGTGCCTGGACAGACTTTTACACTTAATCACTGACTGCACCCTTCTGGGTAGAACACAGAATCTTCTAGCAGGATGCTGCTTCATACAGACAGCCAGGCAGATGTGACTGATTCAACTGTTGTGAAACTAAAAAGTATAAAACAGCTTTTAAAAGTGTCTGTATATGGTGGGTGCGTGGGAAATAATAAAAACCCAAGTAATATATGAGCAAAATATGGGAAATGAACAAGTATGAAAAAGTGTTCTTACTTGAATATCTTCCCTTCCTTGATTCCTCCAGATACCTGCCTAAAAAACAGTTCCTAACGTCTTTTTCTC